TCCCTGTTGAGGCTCCAGCTACGGGTGCTGGGATTACGACTGGGCCCCAAAGAATGGGTACGGTATATCCACCCCCTGCAGACTGCAGGGCAACGAAGCCCTGTCTGCAGAGCTTGAAGGGTAAGCTGCCCCTTTAGAGGGAGAGAGCCCTACAGCTCCAGAGCGATAGGTTTTCTTTCTGAAAAGGAGAAAGCGGTACCTAGCCCCACTGCCGAGGATGGGGTCTGGCATTCCTGCTGCACAGGAATGCTTTCCTCGGGGCCTCTGTGGTGCCAGTTCAGGTGGCTGCAAGGCCAGGTGTTGGCGGTGCAGCCAGCTTGCCCCCCCTTTCCTCCCCTGGCTGGAGCACCAGTGCTGCTCTTGGGTCTGCTCCAGAGCACTGGCTCTGGCTCGGCAACGGGGACGGGCTCCTCATCTGCGTGGAGGCCCCAGGCACGGCGGGCGCTGACCAGCTCTCTTTCCCTCCCCCGCCCCCTGCCCACAAGATGGCTCTCCTGGAAAAGAAGCGGCTGCTGATGGCGCAATTGGAGGATGCCAAGGAGCTGCAGGAACATGTGGCGCAGCGGGAGAAGCTCGTCTTCGCCAGCGTCTCACGCTGCTTGCCCGCCGAGCAGCTACAGGACTACCAGCACTTTGTGCGCATGAAGTCCGCCTTGGCGATCCAGCAGCGGCAGTTGGATGATAAGATCAAGCTGGGTGAGGAGCAGCTGCGTTGCCTCCGGGAGAGCCTGCCCCGGAGGCCCAGAGAGCACTAGAAGAGCCCCAGGACCCCACCGGTTGGGGGGCTGACTGCAACCTGCAGGAGCTCTGGTGCCTTCCTGTCCTCCAGAAAGCGATGATGCCTTCTGCTGAAGAGGGCTGTGCCAAATAGCCATGCCTGTTCCTCTCCTCCGTGGCCAGGGAAGAAGGGGTCACCCAAAAAGATGCACCCCCTGCACTTGGGATCAGTTGTCACCGCTGCTGCTCAAGAAAAGGTGGCTGTGGGAATCCTGGAGTCACACTGGAATGAAGAGGCTGTGGGGGTCCTCACAGCCCCCCCAAGACTACCTGGCTGGCTAGATGAGGTGACCCCGCTGTCTCCATTCCTTCCAGGGGGCCATGTGGCCTTGGGTGGACAACAGAGGCTCCCTCTGGCAGTAATTGGGGGTTGACGTTCCTAGCCCGCAACGCTCACCTGACATGCCTACAACCCTGGAAGGTGCTTCTTCTACTGGTCCACGTTATTTATTTTCTTCTCTCGCTGTGTTAGGGTTTGTCTCCAAGTTAAAGCAGGATTCCGGTCGGGCGAGGGCCAGGTGGCTGGACCGGCTGGTCAGGAGCGTGGCTCATGGTCTTTCAGAGCCCACATCCACAGCAGCACTTGGCACGTGAGCGTCACAAAGGGAGACCTCGCCTTGGTCCGAGGCTTCGCGGCGTCCCACCGCCCTTTGTCCCCAGCTAAGCACTTACGGCTGCTGCTTCAGCCTTCCCATGGAGGGGACCATCAGCGTGAGACCTTTCACATGTCTTGCCTTGCCTCTCCCGTGCGGTCACTCAGAGGCTGAGCTCCAGGCCTAAGTGGGCTCAGGTGGCGCCTGTCCAGCTGCAAAATCCTTGCCAGTGAGATAGCGCAGCACCAGGGCCACGTGAGGATCAGTGTGGAGAACCTGGGAAGCGTCGCCAGAGCAGCCTTGGAAAAGCCTTGCTTTGCACTGGGGTGCGGTCAGACTCCCTGAGCCAGAGATCATGGCATGGCAGCAGGAATACACATGAGCTTGTCTTTTCTTGTGAGCTACGTACATGTCCTGCCGGCTGCCTTAATTTATCCAGCGGGCAACCCAGCCCCAATTACTGGCTCTGTCCCTCGGCTTTGGGCAGGCAGCCGCACCATGGGAGGGGGTCTCCCTTCCCATTCTCCTGCCCTGGCCTGAAACTGAATTCCCTGGCAAGAACAGTTGTGGGGCGGGGGAGCTGGGGCTGGATACGCAGGGCTTCTCTTCCTATCTCCCCTGTGTCCATGGCCAGAGGAATGTGTTGGGATCCTGCCACGGCTATTCTGCCCCCAACATCCTCTTCCTCTCCATTGTCCTTGGCCCAGTGCAGGAAGCCAGGTCTGCTTGGCTTAACCCCTTCAGTGCCGGGCTGCCTTGAACTCCTGGCCACACGTTCTCCCCTTGAGGAAGAGCTGCCTTAGTGCTCTGGGCCTCGAAAGGAGTTAAAATCTCACTGCCTGGGCTCCCAGTAAGCAGGGGAGGAGGACCCTGCACTCCCAAGCATCCTTGCCTCTTTGCCCCCTCCTCAGCCTTCAAGGAAGGAGACCCAGTTTTTCCAGACCAGCTTCTCAACCTGGTGCTCTGAAGACCTGGGACCGTAGCTCCCCTAACATTAACCAGGAGGCCAACATGTGGCCAGGGTAAGCCCTCGTGGCCCAGGCCACGTGGGCCTTGAATGCTTCCCGACTTGGGCTCCTGAGTGGGGATTCAGGTTCCTTCCTCCGAAGGGCCAAGCCGGCTTTTATTCCTTTGGAGAAAGCTGGGCTTCGGGTGACTTGCATGCCTGCCGGTCGGCATCCTTCTGGAAGAGCTCTCGGGCATGTGACAGCCCATTGCCGCCGGCGTGCTGTTTGGTGGTTGCCCTTGGTTTCCTGCAGCCAGGCTGCTTCAGCCTCTGCGGGGCTTGGAACCTCCCCGGAGAGTGGGTGTGAGTCTGGCTGTGCTTTTTCAAAAGCCAGGGCTGGGGGGCCGTGGACGAAGTTGCAGGTGAGCCTCTTTCTGCTTTTCCCAGGCGAATCTTGGAAATCAGCCCTTCGTCTTCTCCAACCTGCCCCCCCCCGCCCCCCAGTATTCCTTGCTTGCTTGAGACCAGTCTTTTGTGGGGAGTTGGCTGTGAAAGCATTATGTATTCACACTCACCGAGAAGAGGAGGCCGTGTTGCCTGGCCACGCTGCAGACTCGGCTTCTGGCTGCCCAACACAGACTCTTCATCAAGTGGGAATGAGGGACAGTTCAGGAGGAGCTCTGTGTAATTTGGGACATTTGCAATACCAGGTTCCTCTCCCTCCCCTTCGACCTCTCCCTCTTTTTATGGCAAAACCATTGCAGCTCCCTGCACTGACCTGTAAGAACAGGGGTGTCCTCTGCCCACTCCTGCCCCTGAACCTGCCCCTCTCACCATTCCTGGCTTGCTCTGAGCAGCTGCTCTGCCCAAGCAGCCCCTCCTCAGCGCAGGTGGAACCCGAGTGCTAACTCTGAAGGCATGTTGCTATGTGATTAAATGCTTGAGTTGCTGGCTGTAATTGTGTGCTTCCTACACACCAAAGAATCTATGGTTCCTGTCCAATGTTTCCACAGCAAGATCTCTTCAGTTGTGTTTCCAGAGGTGTTTTGACTCCACCTTCACCAGCTTGCGCCTTGGCTGTGGGTGCTATTATGGCGACGGGGGAAAGGCGGAATCACATTTTGCATTAAATTGGTGCTAACCGGGTCTCCGGCTCTGTGTGGCCTTTGTTCTGGAAGGGAAGTGTTGGAAACCAGCCACAGCCTGCTCTGAAAGGGAGAAATGTTTTATTTGTACAATGCAGGTGGGGGGGGGTTCAGTCTCCCACTTCCTAAGGGAAAAGCATCTTGCAGTTCTGGCTTTGCCCTTGTGGCAAGATTAGCTTGCTCTTGGCCGGGGCCGCTGGCCAGCAGAGGGCTCAGCAGCAAGGCAGCCTCTGATCCCAGGCTGGGGCAACCGGCTAGATTTCCAGGATCATGTTCTTTGCGTGATGCAGCGCGGTGGGCTCCTCTCCCGAGGCTTCCGATGACTCATAGAGACGACAATCTTGGAAAGGCAGACTGACTTCCATGTGATCCTGACGGCTGTGCGGGACCCAGATGGAGGCCAGGCTGCAGCAGCTGTGGGTGGCCAGCCGGCGTGTTTGGGGCCTGGGGTGAAGAGCGCATGCCTACCACACCTCCTCACTGCAGGAGAGAGCCCCAGGCGCCAGGTGTGACGATCCTGATTGCTCGCGGCAGTTTCAGGGTGGGTTGTGGCAACTGTGGAAGTAGAGATCTCTCAGAAGCGCATCACGAGCAGAGTTTGGACCCTCATCAGTTTATGAACGTGACATGGTTCCCCTTAGTGACCAGTCGAGCCTTGCACAGACGGACCTGCCCTTTCGCAAGGGGAAATCGGGCTGTCGGGTGCCAGCGCAGCCTCTGAGAGCTGCCTCTCCGTACGCCACTGCAAGCCACTTAATGGGGGGGTGGTTGGGCAAGTCAGACCTTCACGATCCAAAGGCGCCTCTTACTCCTTGGGTGCTCAGCACCAGGTAGGCCCCTCCTACCACGGGCTGGAAGGAGGTTGAAGAACAAGTCCCCAGGGGTGGCAGAAGTGCCCCCTCTTATGAGTGCAGGACTGGCAAATGGGCAGGGCTGGTGGTCTCCCAGAGCTGGAGCCTGCAGCCCTCTCTGTGAGGCTGCCTGGACAGGCCTCTCGTGCAGGTGGTGGTTCTGGTGGCTGCTGAGGGGAGGCCAGGGCCAAGCCAGGGCCCTGTCGGGGAGGGGGCTCTTGCCTGGGGCTGGGGCAGACAGTCATCTCCTGGAGATGTGCCCCAGGCCCCTCACTGCACAGCGCATCTCTCGGGGTGAGGGGTCATCTGGAGGGTGGCTTCCCCAAGGCTCTTTCTGTAAGCAAGAGCTGGACTGTCGCACGCAGCGGGCTTTGCCCAAGCAGCCCCCACCTGGCTGCTCTTTGGCCCGAGAGTGGCTGACCTCTTGCTCCGGGACTTGACAGGTTTCTAGAGGGGCCACAGGGGGGTCCTGCGCTTACCTACTGCAGCCACAAGCAAGAGTTGAAGCTGCCAGACCTTTTGGGGTTCTGCCTGAGCCACTGGAGTCCCCATCTTCTGAGTCCCGTTTCCCCGCCTGAGCGTTTCCAGTGGCCTGGGGATAAAGAGCCAGGACTGGGGCTCAGGATGGGGTTGGCTCCTCCATTTTGCAGACAAGAAGTCCTGGCTGGTGGGCCTTCCAGCCCTGCCCAATCTCATTTCCCACAATGCCCCTGGGTCCCACCTCGTTAGCCTGTTATCGCTGGAGGGAACACCATTCTTCGCCCCAGGGGCTGGGGATTGTGGGAGATGCCTCTGGCAGGCGTCCTGCTCAAGGTCTGAGATGTTGCTCCAGAGGCAACTCAGTGCCTGGTTCCCAAGATGAGGACCGGAAGGTAGAACCGAAGGTGCCTAGCCCTGGTGGGGGGCTCCGACTCTGTATCGAAGGAGGCCTCCAACAGATCGCTGTGGGAAGGGAACAAAAGCCCCTCGCTCTTCCCGCCCTTGCCCAGAAGACAGGCAGCCAGGACACCCTTTCCAAGCGGTCAGATGGAAAGGAAAGCAGTGGGCTGCAGCCACGAGGGACCAAGGACAACTGGAGGCGCTGCCTGCTCTCCCTCCAGATCCAGGGCCCTTTGAGGATGGCGGATGGCGCAGAGTTCTTGGGAAAGGCTGTAGCTCGGGGCAAGCGGGTTCAGCATCTGGCCGGGGTTGGGGGGGGCAGACTGACCTGGAGAGTTGCCCAGCATCAATAGGACAGGTGGACCATCTTACTAATGCGTCATGCGTACTATTGCTTGCTGTTGAGCAAACCAGCTTTACTTAGCTAACCCCGTTTCCTGGATCTGCATGATGGCCCACCAAACCGTGAATTCAGCACACCGACGTGTAGGTCTGCGCCGGCCTAAGATACAGTCACTTCTTCATCCTGAAACGCAAACCCACCTCCTGGTTTCAGCCTAGCTGGGCCTCCTGGTCTGCTGTGCGGACTCGGCCCGCGTGGTTAGTATAAGATTCAGTGTTTCGTGGGAACGCAGGGACAAGCAACCAGCTGGTAGAAGGCGGCTTCCGAGATCCCTGCCTCCTGGACGCCGCTCCTGCCGACCCTCCCGGGGTTTGTCCCCTGAACTCCAACTCCCATTCGCGCACCTGCCTCCCCTCCCCTCCCCTCCCCCCCCACGTCTGATTGAGTTCGGGCTGTCGCGTGTTGCAGGGTCCCAACCGGCCGCATTGGGTTCACCCAGCCACGGCTTAGCATACTGGGGGAACCAGCCTGACAGGAAAATGGGCCGCCTGAGCCGCCGGCGCTCCCGAAAGCAAAGCGATCGCGAATCCGAAATCTGCCCGCTTCCTTTCCAAGCCCACCCCACTTCTTTCGGGCAAGGGGAGGATGGCATCCTAGGGCCTCTCCCCTAATAATGAAAGGGGGGTCGTTTCCCGAGCCCAAATGGCCGGCTGGAAAGGCTGTCAACGCGTTGCGGCGTCCGATTTCC